TTATTTATTTTTATTTATTTTTTTTTTTTTTATTTATTTATTTATTTTTATTTATTTTTATTTCTTTTTTTTATATTTGTATTTTTATTTATTTTTCCTCCTTAAAATGAAAATACAATAACCTTGAAATACGTCATTATTTGCTAATTTTAATTTTCAAATTTCTACATTCAAAAAACCGAAAGTCTTATTCAAACTTTCACCTTCCGTTTCCTCTCTTAATATGTAAAATCCAAATACTTTGAAACATGTCTATTTATTTATGAAGAGTACCTACAATTCCAATTTTCAAGTTCCTACAATACAAACTTTCACTTCCCACACATTTCCCCAATTTCCCCCATTTTCTTTCTTTCCCTCATTTGCCCTCTTACCCCCATTTTCCCTCCTTCTCCCCTTAAAATGTGAAAAATCGAAAACCCTGAAACACGTTATGCACAGTAGCAGTATTTCAAATTTTTATGTTTCACTACCACTATGCAAAAAATTATGTCCGATCCCTTGCTCTGAAAAACAAAAACAAATCGATACCACGGGAACCGTACATTTTTCAGGATAGCCTATAATGTGCTATTCCAGACTATAATCTATATTTGTGCCAAATTTCATCCAGATCCGTTTGGCCGTTCTTGCGTGATTGAGCAACAAACATCCATACATCCATTCAAACATCCGTCCATCCATCCAAACTTTCGCATTTAATATTTATATGATAATTATTTACGATTGGCGATAAAAGTTTGTATGGACCACGTCAGCAAAAGTATCTTTATCGAATACGCATGTTACTCGCCTTGCTCACTCAGCTCATAATATCAGACTGGTTCAATAAAGAATCACTTTGCTGACTTGGTACATAAATAAATATTAAACAGAACTGCATAAACAAAACTTGTCTTTTCATATTTGACAATTATTGACCAGTTACCAGTTCTAGTTCCATAGGTAAAAATTTTCATGAACCGAGAACATAGATTTTTATAAATAAATATAATTCTCCCCATTTTTATTTAATTATAAAAAAGGTAGAGTAGTGGCAACACCAATGTAAAAACTAGAATGAAGATATTCGCTCCGTGCGCGACAGCAGCGCCAATTCGTTTTGGTATTAATGGACTATTTCTGCGTATACTGACAAATGCAATTTTTAATAGAATTCGTAATTAAAAAGTATATATGTTAGTTTTAATAATGGATTTGTAAAACAAGCAAAACATTAATTTATTATTATTATATATTTTTATCTCTTAAATTAAAGAAAATTATGTATAATCAATAAAAATGAATAATAAAATATAGGCAGGCAACAGTATTTACTGGAAAATGTATGAGAAGTTGCCTAAGTCTAATAAGTTGTCATTGAAGAATTATTCTGTCAAAATAAAAAATACCATTTAATAATAGCGTAAAGTTAAAATGTATAAAAAAAGGATCGTTATTTATATTTTCATTTTTGTTGGAAAGAAAACATAGAATGAATGATTAAAACTGGTTTCCCATCAGTAAGCTACAAAATTGTATTCCAGCCACATATAATAATAATCAAAGGCAGAAATCTTGAAATCTAGTCCTTGCTGAATGAACATTTAAGAATAAAGGGATATTAAAGAACATCGTAAAATGATAATTTATTGTTTATTTAAAACCTTTCAAGTTTCTGATGTCTACTATTTCCAGCATTACTGTTATTATTACAAAAATAAAGGTAATTTTTCTTCTTATTGTAGACCTATCCATTTATTTCTTTGATTTAATTTCCACTTTGCTACTGAAATTTTTTTAATAAGTTTCACTGTTTTTTTTTGCTAGTATTTGTACAATTTTCAACACAGCAACTCCGGTTGCTTATTGTATTGTTTTCACCTACTTTTTTGAAAAAAGTACTTTTTTGAAAAAAAGTAAAATGTATACGTGTATTTGATATGCCAAAATATCGTCCTAAAATGCACGAATTATCCGCAGCTAGCGCTAGTATCGTTTTTGCTTCACTTTCCATGACTTCGCACTGAGCGAATATAATGCTTGGCGTTCTATATTATACCCTTCACAGATTAACATACCTCCTTAACCCCCTTTTTCGATCAGATTTTTTTCAGAATCAATAGGCTATTGGGCATTTACTCTGAAAGACAGTTAGGTTAGACATCTGTTTTTCGATGGGTGAATTTGAGTATTTCAATAGAAATTATAAAAAAATATACAGGGATGTATTATCTTGGATTAATTATCCAAACCGAGATGGTAAAATTTAACAGTAAGTTAACCAACCGGTGAATGAACACTGTTTGTTAGCTCAAGGGGGGAATCTCCCATTTTACTAGGTTTGAAACATAAGTACAAGTGAAATCAACACAGTAAGGTAACCAACTGACGAATTGACGCTGTTCGTTAACTCTGTTGGTCATCAAGCTAAATAAAATATATCTTGATAGCAAATGAACGTTGAACAGGACTCAAGTGAGATCTCAGTAAATAGTTCAAATTAATTGTAATTTACTTTGCAAATTCTTTCACTACATTATTTAAAGTATGAAAAATAAAAGAGTTTAAATATAAATTTGTATAATTTTATTTATCAATTTGCACCAAACTTTGCATTGAATCCTGGTTTATCTTAATTAACATTATCACAACGTGGGTATTTAAATTATCAATAAAGTAACTAGACAATCACTTGTACTACTAGAGGAAAAATGCCAAATACAGAAAGTATAGAATTTAAAGTAAAACAAATTTAAGAGGTAATTAATAAGATTTCAGACATTAAAACAATGATCAAAAGGGGTATGGGGGTGGGCAGATACAATACTATTGAATACTCTGATGAGTTTAAAAATTGACTTTTTCGTTTTTTCTCTGCTCTTTAAAATAAACGAGTTGACAAGGGGGGTAAGAATTAAACCTCTCATAGTATAAAAGTGGAACGATATTACGTGACATTTTTCAAATTATCTTAGTAGTAGAAATAAATTATTTACAATGTGTCAAGAAGTTAAACATATCGATTTAATTTATAATTAAAAATTTAATAAATGAATAAGATTACGAATAAGATTAAAGACAATGTTATCAAGTAATTAATTTGAAATCATTCGTCACCTAAAAACAGTTCAATATTTTAGATATTATTTTCTATAGCATGTCTTTTAAGAACCTATTTAGTCATATAAGAAAATATTTTTTTGTAAATGTCTATCCCAGACAACACACCAAATCCCAGAGATATCCACAGAATATCTTTTGTGGATATCCAATATATCCACAGGATATCAGAAATATTCGGTGGATCTAATATGGATATCCAAATGTCCATCTATATCCAGAATATAGAAGATATCTTATGGATATTCAGCAAAATATCTAATGAGTATTTCCAGACAATACCAGAAATCCCAGAGATATCCACGGAATATATTTTGTGGATATCCAACCAAATGTCCGTCTATATCCCAGGATATAGAATTCAGATATTCAGCAAAATATTTTATAGGTATCTTTGGTAGAGGTTCATAAGTAACCAATGATTATTGAATAATGTCGAAAGAAAATAGAGATAAAAAATATTTCCAGCAATCTGCCTTTGATTTTGCCCACTAAGGGCACTAAGGAGAAAGTCATCCTTATTAGGACTCTTCAGCAATAAATGGAAATTCTCGACTCCAGTCTCTAATGGAGTCTGATTGTGAAAAAAATTTCGATCGAACTCAATTACGGTGGGTTGAGCATGAGTAGATACGAAAGTGGTATCGCCATCTATACTTAGGAAGCAAAATCAAAAATTACATCTAGTGGATATCCACGATGGTTTGCGTCCGCGCTTAGACTTTGATATATTTAGTGGATGTCCATGGGATATTGAATACACCTTAAAAAAATTAATTTTAAATATCTGAACGGTACTATTAGCCACAATGGCGAGCACAATGTCGTAATTTTTTAATAATTTGCTATATAATTACTATTTATGGAGATTTGCATGTCTATAAATTACATTTCATGGATATAAAATAGATATCCACCATGGACTGGACATTCAGTGGATATTGGGATGTTCAGTAGATATCCAAAGGATTTTGTGTGCTGTCTGGGTAGTTTGAGCTCTTTTCGATTATGCAAAAACTAAGCATAGGTACTTGTAGGTATTGTTATTGTAAACAAAAAACCTAAGTTCCATATCTTGAGCAAATGAATAATGAGGACAAATATTTTTTTTAAATAAAAATATGCCATTTTTCCATTAATTTTATCAATTTTACAGGATAGTAAGTGAATTGGGGTGCTGTCAATAGTTTATTTTATTAAATGTTAGGACAATGAAAATTATTAGAAATTAATTGCTGTACTTTTTGTACTAAATAATTGAATGGTAAACATTTTGTAGGACTTGGCAAATGTATAAGATGTATAAGTAGCATCTCTGAGCTTTGATTTGAGACAATTTGTGAAAAAATTTAATTTAAAAAAATAATTGTTTCGTTATTATTAACTTTTTTATTTAGAATAGCTATATCTACAAGTACGTATGCTTAGTTTCTTCATAAGTGAAAAGAGCTAAACCTAGACAAATGATCTTTTTTTTCTTCTTTAAATTCTAGAATTTACCAACTTGTGTAAGTTGAATACAAAATAATTTTTTTTTCCAGCATAACTAATTACTAAGAATATTATTAAGTAACTTTATAAATATAATATTCATGTAATAAAAATTAAAATGAATGTAAAAATACAACTTTATTTAAATTCCAGAATAAAAAGTGTCAATACAAAAGCTGTTTACAAAATAAACGACCCATACCTATATGTTAATATAATGAAAGTTGGTACCTATATATATTAATTTAATTTGCGCCTTTAATGTTTTAAAAATGTATGTTCTATTTTCTACTTAATTGTTGGGATGTTGATATTTTTGCATACTAACAGAAGGTATTATAATATTCTCGACATTATTTATTTATTGATAATATAGGTAACAAGTTTAGGTGTCTTCAAAATTATTCTAAAAACAAACACAAATCTTACCGGCCATGGTATCTAGGGAATTTCTCACGTAGCACTAACAAAATTTAAATTTACCAAGCGATGACTTTTAACCCTGATTTTGTTAATATTATAATAACTGTTGATTAGATATTCTTTTATTCCGTCACAAATATGTAGTAGGTACGAATTTGCATAAGTACACTTTATTTCACTCTACACAGTCATAAGCTGGAACTAAATTTAATAACGTTTAGAATTGAATTTCTTTTATCTTTTATTTCAAGGTTTTAATGAGGTAAACACTTTAACACTATAAATAATCAAATTATGGTTTATTGAAATTGAATACCAATAAATTTACAGTCACAAATAAATTCCCCTTTTCCCTGTCAATTTGTTGTTCTATGATTCCCCCTCCACCAGTTTTCGAAATGTCACGTTGATGTATGTCATACTCCTAGGTTTTCTTCTTTTATAATAGAGTAGACTTGTACTTTGTAGAATTTCTCACGTTTCAGAAATTTTCTTCAATTTATTTTTGAATTTGATTTCACCTAAATCATACTCTTTATTAAAATAAACAACGAATGTCTATAATTCAGAATAAAATCAATTTATTAAATTCCTTATCTAGATTTAATAGAAATTGTCCTAAGGGCCCAGACTATATTAACTTGACCTACTAACAAATCCGTTCACTTTGGCCATCGTGTTATCCGGCAATAAGCAAATTTAGTTCACGGATCAACCAAGTTGTCCAGTAGAAAAGCTGACCGAATTTACTATTGCAACTATTTCAAATATTCCTCTGGGCAGTTTATTTAGGATAGGAACTAAACCGTCAAATACGGTTCACGCGTTTTAAAATGGAATTTGTGAATCGATTAGATGTTGCACAGTAATCTAACCTTGAGTAATTCAATGTGACTTTCTAGAAGTATGGAATACGATAAAGAGGCGATGAGGGGATTGATAAAAACGTTACTCAAAATCAAAAATTAGTTAATCGCCGGCTGTGCAAAGAGCCGCAACTCCATCTCTCGTAACCAATTGTAACCTTCAAATCGAAATCAACAAGTAGTCATGGCTGGGTAAGATTTTTTCATCAGTGGTACCTTTTAAGTTAAAATAGGGAGGGTAAAATATATTATTTCTTTAACCCCACTTTACTATAAGTACACAATTTAATCCACATTTTTTTAATATATATTAAAACTATTGATCAAATAATTAAAAATTCCGCACCATCATTCTTGATAGCGGTGACAAGAGAGAGAAAGAAAATGCTGTTATCAAATAATTATCAAGTGCTAAAATGATTAAGTATTATATAAAATTACGAAAATACAATAAAATAGGTATAATTCATATTTTTTGTACTTATATACAGAATTGTACCTAACTTATGTATTTTACTCCAAAGTTTTAATATTTTTTTTAATCTGGAAACGAATGACTTGGTTTTTTATTTTTTTTCTCTTTGACCACTCGATTTTTGTTTAATGAACTAACAATAAACCTGCTTGTTTTGAATTTTTGGTACCTACTTATTTCAAATACCTATATATACCCACACCTATTTTTATTTGTAAAAATTCATGGTACCTACTGAATTCTATCTAAACCACAGATTTTGGGAACAACCTGCTATAGCTTCAGTATCATGGATTAATTATGTTTTTGACAGTATTGCATATTACACTAATAAAAATAAATTATTACTTGCTACCAACCATTTATAAAATTACTAATACATCAGTCAGTGCCTATCTCAGTGATATGGTTAGATCTGTCAAGATGACATTTTAGGGACACTAATTGAAGGGATTGTCGAAGTTTTACCACATCTATAATTATCTCATTTTTAACTGGCACAGCTGTTCAGAGCTTAATTGATTTATAAACTTAACTTAATCAGTTCTTAGAATAAAAATAGTTTAAAAAATAATGTCATATGCCACTTCTATGTAATTTACAAAAATGAGCAACATTTTATGTGAATGTACTAACAACATTTCTTCCAATTCATCAAACAGCAAAGGAGACATTGGACTTATCGGTTTAGCCGTAATGGGGCAAAACCTCATTTTAAACATGGCTGACCACGGTTTCACGGTAGTAGCATTCAATCGATCCATAGAAAAGGTTCACCACTTCTTGGCGAACGAAGCTAAAGGAAAAAGCATTGTTGGTGCAGAATCAATTGCTGACTTAGCTTCAAAATTGAAACTTCCCAGAAGAGTTATGTTGCTCGTTAAAGCTGGAGATGCTGTAGATAATTTCATTAACCAATTAGTCCCTCATCTTCAAAAGGGCGATATTATTATCGATGGTGGCAATTCTGAATATCAAGACAGTGAGAGGAGGTCCAAGGAATTGGCAGAGAAAGGAATTCGTTTTGTGGGATCTGGTGTGTCAGGTAAAATATTTTTATAATTGTCAAAGAAAAAATTCACATTTTACCAAATCAGGTTAATAAGGCCTTGTGAGATTTACTTTTGTATTTTTTGGATAGGTGGAGAAGAAGGTGCCCGTTACGGACCAAGTTTGATGCCCGGCGGCAACAAAGAAGCATGGCCGTACATCAAAGACATCTTCCAAGGCATTTCAGCCAAAGCCGACGGGCAACCGTGCTGCGATTGGGTGGGCAATGACGGAGCTGGTCATTTCGTTAAAATGGTTCACAACGGCATCGAATATGGTGATATGCAACTTATTGGTGAAGTTTATCATTTGATGACCGCTCTTGGCATCAACCAACAACAAATGGCTAACACTTTTGAGAAATGGAACAAGGGGATTTTGGATAGTTTTTTGATCGAGATCACCAAGGACATTTTACAATATAAAGATAAAGATGGTAAGTTCTCGTTTTAGAGTAAGATAGAGTGATATGCATTTACTTGTTGCTTCGTTTGTCAATATGTGAATACATTTTAGGCCAATACCTTCTTCCCAAAATCAGAGACACAGCTGGACAAAAGGGAACTGGTAAATGGACCGCCATTTCAGCGCTTAACTACGGTGTACCAGTCACTCTAATCGGAGAAGCAGTTTTCAGCCGTTGTTTGTCTGCTCTTAAGAGCGAAAGGCAGCACGCAAGCACCAAGCTACCAGGTCCCACTGCAAAGTTCACAGGAGACGTCAGTAAATTCTTAGATGATCTTGAACAAGCTTTGTACGCTGCCAAGATTGTATCTTATGCTCAGGCAAGTATTATATCTTTGCCATTCTTGTAAATTAATAATACATTGAACAAAGACAATTTGTCTTGCAGGGTTTCATGTTGCTAAGAGAGGCTGCGAAGGTCCACAATTGGACTCTTGATTATGGAGCGATCGCTTTGATGTGGAGAGGAGGTTGCATTATCAGATCAGTATTCCTTGGAAAAATCAAAGAGGCCTTTGATAAAGATATCAACCTGAAATCATTGTTGCTGGATCCGTTCTTCGTAAATGCCATAACTAAAGCACAATCCGGATGGAGGAATGTCGTCGCAACGGCTGTCAACCTAGGTGAGTTCAATTTATGATAGATATGATGATATGATAAAAGTAAATCTGAATATTAATAATTGTGTTTATACATTAATAATATTGTAAATAATGTAACGTTTATTTATTTTATAACACTACTTGTAAAAATAAATTAATTTTACTAATACGCTAATTTATATTGACAATATTTATCTGAGCAGGACGATCTCTTGATTAAAACTAAACTTTTAACGACAAACAGCCTATTTATATAAAAATGTTATACTCCAAACTTGTTCTCGAAAATTCTAGGCGTCCTGCCACTAAGAATCGGCCAGAATAGAAATAGAAATATTTTATTCTCAGTAATACATATATAAACATGTTTACATAGTCATCAGTACACATAAATGGTAAAATACACCACATTTTACATACATTAACATACAGCATACTCGTATAAAATTTAAAATAAAATAGGATTTTAAAAGATCATGGTTGGTAATAGTAATAAAAAATATACAAAAAAATACAAAATTAAAAATATTAGGTGACATGTTTCACTCTTACAAAATAATCGTTAGTGTTATATAGACACATGTCCAGTAATATCTTTTTAATTTGATGTTTAAACTTTTTTCCTGGTAGATTACGGACGTGGGGCGTAAGTGCATTATATAATGAAATGCCTATTGTTCGGGACTTGTTTATTCTAGTTCTCGTTTGGATTAGCTGATGTTTCCCTCTGGTATTGTATGTATGATTGTCTGAGTGATATGTGAAGTTTCCCAAATTATTTTTTATGGCTAGCAAGTTTTCAAATACTATTTGCGAAACAGGGTCATTATGCTAAGTTGCTTAAATAGTGGTCGGCATGGTTCATAATAATTTACCCGCAGAATAGAGGAACATACATTGGTGGATCCACCATATAATAAACTGGTGCATTCGCCAGAAATCCTTTCTAGATATTTCGTCATCATTCTAGATCGAATAATTTACTTCGACTGATGACGACCATAGGCGTCTCATAGGGGGCTTCGAGAGTTAACCTATTCTATCTAATATTTTTGGTAACGGAAAAATGGAGGTGGTAAAAGGCCCAAATAAGACAAAGAAGGCCTTAAGGGATTATAACATGACCGGACTGGCCGAAAATGGCTCGCATAACAATAAACTATTGCTGCTCCTACTACTACTACTAATGGTTATAAGTGTAAATTAATCTGGTAAAATATTGATCTTTGAGGGACTTGATTAGAATTAACCATCGATTTGGAGATAGCAGAACTTATATTGGCTTAAAATGTCTTTTTAGGTATTCCAACTCCAGCTTTAGGCACCGCACTGGCTTTCTACGATGGTTACCGGTCAGAACGACTACCAGCAAATCTCCTTCAAGCACAAAGAGACTACTTTGGGGCACACACCTATGAATTGTTGGGACAAGAAGGAAAGTTCGTACACACGAATTGGACTGGACATGGAGGAAATGTATCTGCATCCACATACGATGCTTGAGATGTAGGGGTTTTGTCATTGTTCATTATTGTTAAATATTTTTTAAAATATATTTATATTTTTGTTTATTCGATTCTTTAATAGTATGCGACGGAATTTCATCTTTTCAGAAAAAATAAATAAAAGAAAGAGGGAAAATATAAAGAAAATGTAAGTATTTCAATAGAATTTTTATCATTCAAAAATATGTCATACGCATTTTAACTAATCTTAAATCTGGAAAAACTTGTTGAAGTGTCTTTTCAAAGACCTTAATGGTTTACATACTAGTTGAGTTTACATCTTTGAGATTCAATGATTACATGCATTTTTTGCAATTTCATTTCAAACAATCCTACTTTACTAGACATAAAAATTCACTATAGGCCAGTGGTTCCCAAACTTTTATCTATGACGCCACCATTTTTGAAATAAAGAAGTGGTCATGCCCCACCCCCAATTATAAAAATAAACTACTTTTACTACAATAAAACATTTAGATTCACTAATCTAATACGAAGGGTGGTGCATTATTATTTGAATTTGTTAAATATATTTTATTATTTTACAGCTAAAAATAAAATTTGTATTAATACTTCAGGGCTCTCACGTGCCTCCATTAATGTTGCTTCGCGTCCCCTTGGTTTGGGAACCACTGCTGCAGGCTTTAGCCTTACAATACTACTACTGTGTAGATACATTTTTTAATGGATGCATGTTGTATAATTCAATTCCAAATTATGTAAAAAAAAATGCTCAAACATGAACAATTAAAAAAAAACTAAAAACTATTTAACCAATATATTATATGCCCTCGAAGAGTTTGTATCTTAATTATTTACATATTTGTGTTTTAATTATTCTTCTTTTTAAGTATCACTTTGGATTTAATTCAGGACCGTGCCTACTTATCCCGGACATGACTCTTATGTCTATGTCGGTCATGGCCTACTTTAGAAACATTTTTTGTTGTTCACTATTATTATCATTATACCTATAGGTTTTTTATTTTATTTATGTACTTTAACTTTGCAATCCTGGCTCAAGGAGAACAGCAGTGTCGGCTTGTCACCAACATATTGGGGGTTTACAATGACAAAATATAGATAATAATAATAATACTCTCCCTAATTCATCCCCTTACGAGTGAATTTCAACCCCTGAAGTCGACTGAACGACTTGTGTAGGGGAAGGGACGGCTATTATTATTATTTTCCGTGGCGCTCCGGGGCGACTTAAAGATGATTGATGGTGCCATTTGACTTACAGGTGAGGAAAACCTCATCCACCATCATCGAGACGGTAATGCATGACAAATTTATAATCTGCATGTCATATCAACAGAAATTGAATTTCTATTAATACGGGCACACATCAAATCCTAAACCGAACCATGCAATTTAATTAAAAATCCACATGGTCTGGTCTGGGATTCGAAGCCCAGCAGTCTCAGACTCATAAACTTGCCTATAAATGAATATATACAAATTATATACGGTTAAGATTTTATATTGTAAGAAAAGTGGCCTGCACGATGTAGTAGCAAAAACTTTGCACATGTTTCTTATTGCCCTCTTTTGAAGAATAAATATCTTATTAAGCGATTCCTGTGACGCTGAGCCCCAATAACATATTCCATAACGTAGGTGCGATTCCACAAGAGAGAAATAAACATTTCTTGCCACAGCAAAATTCAAATTGTGTGCCACAGATCTAATGGCGTAACGTTCTGATGATAACTTTTTAGTTAAGTAGTTTATATGACGTTCAAATTTAAGATTGGAGTCTATGTAGATTCCCAGAAACTTGGTCTCCGCATTATTTTTAATCGTTGAGTTACCTAGGAACACATTATTTAATTTTTATTTAAAAGTCATTATACTTGTTTTATTGATATTAAATGTTAAATAATTAGCATCACACCAATTTTTAACCTCAGTTATATCTGAATTAATTATAGCTGTTAATTCCTGTTCGTCACTTGATTCCCACAAAATTGTTAGATCATCAGAAAATAATGTAAAAAATCCCCTTATATTAATATTTGTTAAAATAAATAAGAAAAAGCAAGGACCCTGAGACGGACCCTTGGGGAACACCACATTTAATGTGTTTTGCTGGAAGCTTGTTTTTTCACTAATACTCTCTGATATCTGCCAGTTAGATATGACTATCCATTTCAATGCTACACCTCTAAACCCATATATTTTCAACTTTTTTAATAAAATTTCATGATTGACACAATCAAACTCCTTAGATAAATCACATAATACCGCCGCCGAAACATTATTGGCATTAAGATTTAAGAGGACTCGCTCAAGCAAATTAAATATAGCATCTGTAGTGTTTTTGGAAGATTGAAACCCAAATTGTATAGCAGATATAAGATTGTGTGCCTCAAGGAATTCTAACATACGTTTTTTTTTACTAATTTTTCCATAATTTTAGATAATGTTAGTAATAATGAAATAGGTCGGAAATTGGAGGGGTCATTTTGCTCACCTCCTTTATAAATAGGCAAAACAGTTGCCAATTTTAGACAGGTGCTAAATACTCCAGTTTGAAATGAAATATTAATAGCTTCAGATAGAACTCGCATGACTTCCTCAGGGAGATTTATAAATATTTTAATTGACATTTCATCCCATCCCGCAGTGTTTTTATTTTTAACCTTAGACAAAACTTCTTTAATTTCAGAAATATCCGTTGGAGCAAAGTAAAATGTATTTGGAACTGAAATATTGTCTAAAAATTGTGTAACATTACAGGTTGGTCTCATATTACTTGATAAATTGGGACCAAAAGAGCAATAATACTGATTCAATTTTTCTGGAGATATTTCAATATTAATAGGAGCCGTTGACTTACCCCTCAAATCATTAACAATAGTCCAAGCCTCCTTTTGTTTGTGTGAGCATTATTTATTCTCTTTTCAAAATATAATTGTTTAGCTATCTTAATAGTTTTTCTATATATTGTTCTATACTCATACTTCTATACCTCATCCTTCTAGTGAACTTAAAAAAAACCATCGAGCTGAACAAAAGAAATCCTCCTCATGTTACTACTAAGCTTCAAAAAAAAGGTCGTTGAGCTGAACGAAAGAAATCTTCCTACTCTCGTCTCTTATCGGGCTTCAAAAAAGAAAAAAAAAAGGTCATCGAGCTGAACGAAAGAAATGTGCGCTGTTGTCAAACAACTCAAAAACGACATTTGTCGTAGAAAAAGAGGACATTTTAAGCTTTAAAAAGTCACAAGGACATTTTGCTTCAAAAAAGGACAGGTTACTAACAATGCCATTGAAACAAATCTCAAAAATTCCCCTACGAATTATCAAGACCATCCAGGAACCCCAAAGGTGAAAATTAATACTTGGCCTGTCATCGCCAGGATTCGAACCTAGACATCTTTGTTCTATACACAAATGCCCTATAACCTCTAGACCATCATGACATTGACTGTCTAGATTCCTAGATAATAATAATGAAAGGCTTTTATTTGTACAAAATTAAAGTGTACATTTCATTTCAGCGAGAGAAATATGGTCGAATTTTCTTAGATCATTTACGAACCTACAACATGTATTTTGCTTGATTGAAGCCGACTTCCGATTTATTAAAGTTAAGCAAGGTTGTGTATAGTATTTTAGATAAAACTAAGCTTTGACATGGCATTTTGATGTGCTAATTCGGGTTAAGCGCCGTTTCAGGCTCATTCTCAAATATTCAAATAAATCTATACAGCATTGGAGTAAGCGTGAGTTGTTTTCAACGTACGTTAAGAGACGTAAACCTGTGTATGAAAATTGTAATTTAATATCGAGAAAACGCAAATCAAAATCCGAAAAATCAGTATATCTGAAATATAAGTGGCTGAAAATAATTTGAAAATTCGGAAACAAATTTCAAAAATCCCCTACGAATTATTAAGACCATAAAATAATAAGAAAATTCTTATTTCTTTTGTCTAAAATGAATATTTCTTTTTAATAAATGTTGATGATGCCTTTTCATATTTATATTTACAAACTACACAAACACTCATTTTTCAAATATATATCAATGTAGTTAAAAATTCAAAAATGTTTGTAGAACATTAATAAAATGACTTATAAATTACGAAAATAAGCTCAAGATTGATGAAAACCAAAACAGAATGTAATTTCTGACAATTTCGGGAATTTTGACATGTCAAGCAAATCGAAAAAGACCAATTAGGCATTCTAACGACCTGTCAAACAATAGGTGCCAGTGGGAAATTCTTGTATATTTAAGGGGGGTAGCGACATAGTCTTGCAACTTGGACGCTATTTTTATTCGAAGTAGTACTCGCCAAGCCTGCCAATTTATGAAGAAATGTATAGGTGGGTTTTTTAAATATAATTTTTATTGTGTTTGACATAAAATATTTAAATGTAATCCATTATTCATGATTTTACGTAAAGTAGATAGAATACACCATATGTCGCCACCCTTAGATATACCAAACCTGCCCACTGGTAATTCATTTGTTTGGAATGCCTAATTAGGCATTCCAACGACCTGTCAAACAATAGGTGCCAGTGGGAAATTCTTGTATATCTAAGGCGGGGTAGCGACATAATCTTGCAACTTGGACGCTATTTTTATTCGAAGTAGTAGTCGCCAAGCCTGCCAATTTATAAAGAAATGTATAGGTGGGTTTTTTAAATATTATTTTTATTGTGTTTGACATAAAATATTTAAATGTTATCCATTATTCATGATTTTACGTAAAGTAGATAGAATACACCGTATATGTCGCCACCCTTAGATATACCAAACCTTCCCACTGGCAATTCATTTGTTTGGAATGCCCAATATGAGAATGTTGGACACTATTTTCCCCTCTGTACTAAAACATGGAGATACTCGTGTACAGAAGCGATATTACCGGCGCCATATTGTTACCAGCCTAATGCCATTTATGTCATTTACTTTTTTGGAATGTGTTTTATTTTTCGTTATTTATTGCATTTCTTTCGATTTTATATAGTGTTAGTTCAAAGACCTTGAGGACATGTTATCTTGTACTTTACGAGATTGTACCCGCCGAGATCGCGTGGAAATAACCATGGAGGTATGAGGATAACATAAGTTAGTGAACAGAGAAAAAATGGAAAAAGAAATTTGGGTCGCTGATAATCTCCAAGGCAACGTTGATGAACCTCATTATAAAAGTAAATTTTGGCGACAGTTCTGAATGTGAGAATTCAGACGTCGACGATGACTTACAATGACTTACAATGACTCATCTATTGCGTAATAGTTATTTATGTACCAAGTCAGCAAAGTGATTCTTTATCGAACTAGTCTGATATTATGAGCCGAGCGAGAGGACTAACAGGCGAGTTCGATAAAGACACTTTGCTGACGTAGTCCTTACAGACTTTTATCGCTAACCGTAAATAATTATATTACTAATATACATGGTGAGTCGGGAGGAGCGCACCAAACTCTAGGAATATATTATACACGTGAAAATAATGTAAAAAAACTCATGTTCTTATCCGATTTTCATTTGTTTTCAAGTTATAGCATATTAACAAATAAACAAATTTACACATAAAAATTCTCTTAGTCATACCGTTCTTTCAATAAATGTTCAAAAATACCGCCATTGACTTCTAAACATTTTCTGCTTCGTCTACGAAGAGCGTTTGTTGCTCTCCTAATTGATTCATTAATTCAATTAAACGTTCAGTTACTGTTACTGTACACTGACAGTTCATCAAAACGTCAGAATTATCAAATGCCTTTGAGCCTTGAACATATGGCATACTTTGATAATGTTAAAATTCAGAAGTGGAAAGCTAGATGAACATTTTTAATTACGCCATAACTTGAAAGCAAATGAAAATCGGATAAGAACATATGAGTTTTTTTTACATTATTTTCACGTGTATAATATACTCCTAGAGTTTGGTGCGCTCCTCCCGACTCACCCTGTATAAATGCGAAAGTTTGAATGTATGGATGTTTGTTGCTCAATCACGTCAGAACAACTGAACGGATCTGGATGAAATTTGGCACAAAGATAGGTTATAGTCTGGAATAGCACATAGGCTACTTTTTATCCCGGAAAATGTACGGTTCCTGTAGGATAGATT